ATTAATATATATATATATATAAGAATAAGAGATTAATGGAAAGTTGATGAATTAAAAAAGTCAAGATATGAATTAAAATAAATGCATACAGTTTTCATATATTTGCGAAAAATATAAAAATATGTGAATACACAGAAAATACAATGAGATATATCATCATAATATGTTTAATATTTTAATACCAAACAAATAAAGAAAATTATTACAAAATGTAGTCCAACTTATTGTAAGATATGTATATTTCGTAAATCTCGTGCATACAATCAGCGTTCAATTACATATTATCTAGAAAAGTTCGTTCATTCGTTGTACAAAGTAACATATCATTCTCTCATAGCATATTTAGAAATAAATGTGATTGCTCCTATTCCCTTTTTTATCAAATGTCAACAAATAACATATCCTCTTAAAATATTAAAACAGAGAACTAGAGGAGTATCCTAACATTTCGTTATGTTATGAGAGAACGAATTATCATTCACACTTATCACACTGATATCAGATTCGAGCTACTAGTCGTGTAAAAATATATGTGTTGTATAAATATAGGAATATCTCTTTGTGAAGAACAATAGGTTGTGTAGCGATGTACCTAACGTACACGCGACATACGAATAAACCATATGGCACACAAACGGCGAGTTCATCGATTTAAATAAGCATTGCCATGTCGTTTCGGCATTCTGCGAATACAGAGATATAGGCCAGTGATGACCATAATGAGCAAAGGGAGGCCGAGGCCAATCGAAATAATCATAATGACTAGAGAAGAGAATCTCTCCTCGGGTGGTGTGCCGTATCCAATTATGAAAGTCCTGTAAAATTTAAAATGCAACATTTTATTAATTCAAGAAATTATAGAAAATTATAACTCGTCATTAAATTTTTTAAATAAAATACAACACTTAACAACAATCTTGTAACCGATGACTTACCACGTCAAGTAATTCGTCTTCTTATAAAAACCATCTCCTTTTGAGCCCAAGGAAACCATTATCTTTTGTAATAAAAGATTCGCAATTTCATCTCCATAATAACAGTAGAGCATCGAATTTTTAATACTTGTGTAATTGAACACTTGTTTCGGTGGATATTGGACTGTCTCCGTGGAACTGGTTACATCGCGCGACGCGCTAATATATGACACCGGCCGCCATTGTAAATACGATCCAGCATTCAGCGCGCCGTCCTGTTCTCTATAGGGTGGCGTTCTAACTTCAACAACCTTGAAGAAAAGCATTAGAAGAAAGGTTAAGATAATATTGTCAATCAAAACATAGAAGCGACATAGCCAAGAATGTTACCTCGAATATACCCGGAGTATGCTCATCGTCCAGACTCTTTTTCGGATCAACGAACATCAGTATGTCGGGATCGCCACCGCCGACCGCGAGCAATTCAATAGCAAATCTGCTACGGGCAAAAGTCTGGTTAGTCTGGATGTGATCGAGGATGATGTCCACTTGCGTAGAATTCTCCGTGTGTAGCATATGCGGCACCATGTCTGAATGATCAACAGTGCAGAATCCTCGGAGCTGACAAGCGAACGAGAAAGATTTTAAAGAAAGGTATGCCATGTATATCACAGAGGATTAAAAAAGCTACAAAGATGCATAGGGTGTCCCTAGATGTGATCCTTTAATAACAGATTTCTGAAATCATTTTAAAATGAAAATCTTAATACCAAAATGTCAAAGTTACAATAGTTTTTAAATGAGAAAGACATAAAATTAGCCAATTAAACTATACAAAGTAAAATGTCTAGAAGAATAGAAGAGAATAGAATTGATGCTCACTATTGTGTCATGTGACTAAGCGTACGAATTTGGAATTTCATTAACTAACTTTAAATCTTTTTCATTTAAAAACTATTGTAGCCTCGACGACATTTTGGTATTAGGATTTTCATCTCGTAATTTACTATTAATTGAAATCTGGGACACCTCGTATGTTCAATACAGGCTCAAAATGAAGTTAATTCTCGCTTAGCTGAGCTGTTGAAATTATCTTCACATGCGTCTCTACGTACTACCGATACTTTCTCTTCAATGCTGCAAAATACTTTACCGAAAGTTTTATACTCCCGTATCTGCTGATATTCTTAGCTGTATCGTGATAAGAGTTACCCTCCATATCCAGAGAGACGAATTCACTATTTTGCAATAGGGACACGAGCCGCCAGTTGAAATACTCGGAATGCAAAACGTTCGTATTAGTGACGTCGGCAGTGTCAATCAATGCCGTGTCATTTACATCGTTGAATTCGATAATCTGTAATATAATATATTTAGTATTATTCAACGTGCTATATATAAACGCTAAGGAATTAATGAAAATCAGGTCGCTGATGATAGTTTTCATTCCGCGATTGACCCTACATAAATACAGTCAATTTCTCTTGCATTATTGTATATTAGAGCGCAATAAAATTAGCCGAATTAAACCGCAATGTTGTCGATACTGACGTGTCCCCGAATTCTCCGAAAATTCCTGTCAAATGCAGTCGATCGATGCGATGCGGAAATCTGTTTGCTCACTGCTGTGAATAATTCCATGGTTTTGTACGCGACTATTTAATAATTTCGTCAACTAAAGGTGTATACCTATCGTATATACACTAACCGTCAATCGTTAATTATATCGCTTTACAAAAGATTAATCTCGCACTCAATAACGCATGGTATTTATTGAACGAGAAATTTATAATAATGTTTTAATGATGCAATAAACCATAAATTGTTAGATGTTTACATAAAATATTCGTATTATTTTGCTGTTAAAATATGCTCTAGTATAACGAGATCGTAATGGAAATACGTATGTAATTTATATAAGAGAATATGCTTGTATCTACATATTACGTAGATACGAGTATATTCTCTTTTCAAGTAGAAGATACTCTACTTGAAGAGAGGCTTTACGAAGTGGAGACATTGTGAAGTGCGAAGGTTTAATTAAGAAACCGCGGATGTATTCTCTATAGTCGACAAGGGAATGTGATGAGTAGATTTGTGTCACTCGGATTTACGTCCGCGTCTGATGGAAGTAAATTCGAGCAAGTAATAAATCATAATCAGAGTAATATTGTATTTTTATATGCTATTTAAATTTCTATACGCGTGCATAGAAAAAAATTTACTAAATCTTAGTAGAGATTTTTTTCAATGGGACTAACTAAACTTTTACAGTAAATAAATATTTACTAAAAAAAATAATAGTTAATTCAAATTAATTCGTATCAAATAAATATATATTTAGTAAATATTTAGTTACTATACTATATATTCAAACAATATTTATTAAGATTTAGTACATTTTTTTAGTATATATCTATGTTGTTGCATTTTTACATTTTTGTTAAATTTTTGTTGAATTTACAATTTTATTGAAATGACTAAAGGCATCTATTAGCAAAATTTTATTAACGCATTA